GGGTGGGTGACACTGTGTGTGTGTGTTAAGGTGCGCCCTCACTTAACTGACACCAACGCAGAAAGCAGGGCGGTTCAAACAATGCTGCCTTCTTTGCAGTTTTTCCACCCCCCGCCAGAGCACTGGGATTGGAAGAGACCTCAGGGAAGGGTGACAGTCACTGGCCAGCTACACATGTCAATAATGAGAACGGTCCTTCCCCTCGCCCCCTTCCCCCTCCCATTCCTTACTTTAGTTTCTATGTCCCTGCAGGTGAGCCCATCTTGAGGTTTGAAACTCAAAACATTTCGAAAATTTCAAAACGTTTCAAAAATTTCAAAACGTTTCGACCTGCCTCATTTCATTTTGAGGCTGTTTCAAAGCTCTCTGTTTCATTTTGATTTCACTGTTTTGAGCTCAAAATGAGTCAAAACAGTGTCAAAACAAAACTGCTAGTGAAATTTCGCACAGCCCTATTAGCAGGTTCAGCACAGGGATGCCAAAGTGAACTGTCTGCTTTGGAAATTTGTTTTTCATAGAATCATAGAAAAAGAGGGTTGGAAGGGACCTTGGAAGGTCATCTCTGTCCAACCACCTGCTCAAAGCAGGATCAGCCCCAATTAGATCATCCCAGCTAAGGCTTGGTCTAGCCAGGTCTTCAAAACCTCCAAGGATGGAGAGTCCACAACCTCTCTAGGTAACCTCTTCCAGTGTTTTACTAATGAGAAAGTTTTTCCTAATAGCTATCCTCAACTTCCTTTGCTGCAACTTAAGCCCATTGCTCCTTGTTCTGTCATCTGCCATCACTGAGGACCGTCCAGCTCCATCCTCTTTGGAACCACCCTGCAGGGAGTTGTAAGCAACTACTGAATTTCCCCCTTGGTCTCTTCCCCTCCAGAATAAATAAGCCCACTTCTCACAGCCTTTTCTCACAAGTCATGTGCCCCAGCCCCTGAACCATTTCTGTTGAGCTCCACTGGACTCTCTCCAATTTGTCCATATCCTTTCTGTAGTGGGGGGCCCAAAACTGGACACAGTACTCCAGATGTGGCTTCACCAGATCACTTCCCTTGATCTACTGGCAAAGATTATACCAATGCAGGTCCTCCCTCCTTCCCCTCTTGAAGATGGGTGCAACTTTGGCCCTCTTCCAGTCCTAAGGGACCTCTCTGGAGCACCATGAGTTGATTCTTTGAAAATCTGCTCCATGATTTTTCCAGGGACTGAGGTGAGGCTGACCAGTCTGTAGTTCCCTAAATTCTTCCTTCTTCACCTTTTTAAAGATGGGCACTATATTTGCCCTTTTCCAATCATCTGGGACCTCCCCTGATCACCATGAGTTTTCAAAGATGATGGCCAGTAGCTTTGTAATTACATTGGGCAACTCTCTCAGCTCCCTTGGATGCACTGCATCCAGCCCCATGGACTTGTATATGTACAGTTTTTCTAATTTGTCCCTAGTGTGTTCTTTTGCTGCTGTTGACTGTTCACCTTCTCCCCAAGCTGGGCTTCCCAGTGCAGCAGTCTGGGAGCTGCCCTTGCCTGTGAAGACTGAGGTGAAGAAGGCATTCTATACTTCAGCCTTTTCCTCAACACCTGCATTAGGTTGCCTCTCCCACTGAGTAAGGGACCCACACTTTCCTTGATCTGTCTCTTGTTACTGACATACTTGTAGCACCCTTTCTTGTTACCCTTCATGTCCCTTGCTAGCTGCACCTCCAATTGTGCTTTGGCCTTCCTGACTTCATCCCTGCATGCCTGAACAATGCTTTTATATTCTTCCCTAGTTATTTGTCCAATTTTCCATTTCTTATAACCTTCATTTTTGTGATTTAGTGTACCAAAGAGTTCCCTGCTAAGCCAAGCTGGTCTCCTGTCATACTTGCTAGTTTTCGTGCACATTGGGATGATTTGTTCCTGCACTCTCAGCAAGGCTTCTTTAAAAATACAGCCAGCTCTTCTGGACTCCTCTCCCCCTTAGACTGGCTTCCCATGGGATCCTGCCCATGAGTTCCCTAAGTGAGTCGAAGTCTGTTTTTCTGAAACCCAGGATCCTTACTCTGCTGCTCTCCATCCTTCCTTTCCTCAGGATCCTGAACTCAATCATATTGTGGTTTTGCTTATGTGTCTGTTATATAGATAATTTTTTCCAGGTTTAGCGTCCCTAGGTTTATGAGTTACTTGGCTTCAGCTGAATGCAGTTGCTTCTGAGTTGTCTGCATTACCTGAAAGTTTGCCCTGTACATTTTTTATAGCTTGCAATTTACACTGACCTTGGTGGTATTTTAATTTTATCATATAATTTCAATGTGATATTACTTGGTGGAAATTTTCTATAGCTGAGGAAGTCACTGTAGCCTATCACATTAACTGATGTCCCGTTCAACATTCAGTTGCCTATTGGTTTGCTTGATGCTGCTTTGTCTGCATCTGGAGGTAACCTGAGCTCTATAAACCATTTGATCTGAATGGTTTGCTCTGCATTGCTATATGTATACAATATCTCATTGTCTTCTTAATCATGGCTCACTTCCTTGCTGTGATGAATGTTTTTGCAAGCTTTGTTATACTCTGTCCTGCCACAATTATTACATATGGCCCTGATTTGTGGAACATTTTCCATTGTTTGTTTATCATACTTATGGTAGTAATGCCTGCAGGACAAACATGAATGGGTCCCCATGGAGCTAGGCTGTGTATTTCACAGAGGACAAGATGTCTCTACTACAAGAAGCTTGCAATATAAATAGACAAGACCAGGCACAGGTTGGAGGGAAGGGCTTAACAGACAAGAAGAGTATACAGTTGGGATGGGGATAGTAGTTTTGGGATACTGAGGGGGTATGGGGAGGGGCATCGAGAATGTTCTTGTGGAGCAGAGATGTAACTTGAAGTGTTAGTGCCCTGAGTGTGGTGTGCATATGAATACAGGCTGGAGTGGTGGCACTAAGCTTGATGGCACTGCATGGTGGCACAGGCTGCACAGTGGCACTAAGCATGATGGTGGAACCATACTTAGGATGGTGGTACCTACAGGCCAAACAAGAATGGGTCCCCATTCTCTCATTCCCTCTCTGCTGGAACATGGAGCTGGTGCCCACCTTGCCCACCCCATGCAGAGACTGTGGGGGCAGACAGAGAGGAGGAAAGAGCACATAATCAAAATACAGAGGGTGAGGGTTCAGCCCAGACATAAATAGCTAGGCCTGTGGTAGGCCACTAGGAGCAACCTTGGGGTCAGCAGAGTGGAGGCATAGGTTACCAGAGCTGAGAGGGGAGATCCAAAAGACAGTCTGAAACGTAAACTGAGGTCAGGAGCCAGAGAACCAAGATCAGGGTCAAGGAAGTCAAGCTGAGTTGGGATGCTGGGAAACCAGAGAGAGCAGGGCCAGTGCCGGTTCAGGGAAGATCCAAGATCAGGGTCAGGGAAAGACAAAGCTGAGACAAGAGCCGGGAGAAAGCAGTGAACATGAGGCTGAAGACACATGCCTGCCTTCCCCGTCCCCCTCGCAGGCCCTTCCCCACTCCTTCCCTCACTGTGGAGGCCTCAGTCTGCCCCCTTCCCACTCCCTATACCTTCTCCCCACCATTGATTTACCTGCAGGGAGCTGCTCTTCATGCTTCCTGGCTGTTTCCTGGCCATGTGCATGTGTGTGGGTGTGTGCATGTATGCAGTGCCCCTTGCATCTCACTCCTGGCAGCCCCTTGCAGGCTGGAATGCTGCCAGTCTGCAAGGGGCAACCCACTGTTTCCAGATCCCTGTAAATGCTGCGAATCTGGGACAAATGCTGTCCTGGAGTTATGCAGCCCAGGACCAGGACTTGAGGTTCTCCTTGTGGGACTGTCTCCCCAGCTAGGGACGGGTGGTCGCCCTAGATGCAGAGAACCAGGTTAGTTAGCCAGGGATCAGGGGCAGGTGTGATGACTCACATGCTTGGCCCAGATGGGTATGCTTGATCAGAGGCCCGGACAGAGAAAGTTCAATCAACACTGTTCCAAATTATTTCTGAAACCCAGCTCTGGCCTTTCCTGCATATGCTATGGTTAGCTGGAGTCTCTGGTTATCTGTTATTTTCAGGACTTTTTCCAAAGCCATTTAGAGTTGGGGAGTGGAAGCATTACCTGGGCCCTCATATTGCCTTAGCTGAGGGGGTCTCCCTGCATCGATCTGGGTCCTGAGGTTATTGAGAGGTGTGACCACAGTTGCGCTCCAATTTACCCTTTCCCCATTTCAGCAGTTTCCTATTTGACTGCTTCTGCATCTGTTCATTATATTTTCTCTCTCTCCGCAGTACCAGAGGTTTCCCTTTTCAGCTAGTTTCATCTCCACTGATCCATATATATCCATATTTTGCACAAATTTGGGGTGTTTTTCCTGCTGTTTTTAGGTTTTCTCTTTGGCATTTGGTGAAACATCTGGATATGCTCTACTCACGCTCTGCCTCCAGACACAAACCTGGGTTTTCACCTACCTACAAGCCATGGTGGAGATAGCGTGGGCTGGCTGAGGATTCCTGCTTGATAATGTTGTTCCTAGTACACCTTGCAAATTAGTACATCTTTTATGATTTGATCATTGTGTAAGTCAGTCATTCTTCATAGTTTAGCAACACAAGGATCCATTGTTATGCCAAATTCATAACTGTGAATGTTGAAAAGATACCATTTGTAGTTGATATTTTTGTTGGCTGAAAATGCTTTCTTGCTGCCTTCCTAAGGTTTTATGTGCATCATTCCTGTGTGTGCTACTGACATGTCCAGATGGAGCTGGGCCCCACGGCAACCTTTTCCCACTACAGCTAACAGCATAGCTACTTTCATTTGGTTTTTGTTTGTATGCAACCCTCTTGCAATTTCATAATTTTCCCATTGTGATTTAAAGAATGTCCACTTGCTAAACATATCCCCTTTCATGTCCATCTGTTTGGGAGAAGGAATTTGGTATGTTGCCGTAATTATAATTTTCTCTTTTGTTTTTTGTGTTTCTTGAGTTTCTTCGCTCTGCTTTCCTGTATATGCAGGAGCCAACTCGCTTCTGACACCATATCCAGTGTTCAAGGACAAAAGAAAAGAATGCCAAAGCAGTACAGCATTCTGACTTTATCCTTCCTCCACACATGCTGGTTTCCCTTATCGAGTGCTTCCCAGGGGTAGAGCTCTCCAACTTTCTAGCCATAACCCTATATACTCCCAGACTGTAATGCCCCCTATTGGGAAGCTAGCTATTGTAACCATCTGTAAAACAAAATGCAGTATTGATCTTTCTTCCACACTCTAGCAAAGAGTACATTTTGAAAGTCTTCCTCTCAGAGCAGTTTGTTTTTATTCTGCATTTATCAAGGCTAGCCATAATCTGAAATAGCAAAGCAAGCCTTTAAAAGGAGGCCAATGTCAATAAAATAAAGAGAAAGAAGGGGTTGGATATGCCATATTTGTTTATTTTTTTAAAGAAAACCTAGAGACAAATAATTTCAAATTACTGGTGCGCCTTCAAGGTAGAAAAATCAACTGGATGTAGTCCCTCATTATAATTCACAGAATCATGCTGGCAATGTCTTAGTATATGCCTTTTTGAAACATATAAGCAGGTGTTCATTTTCTGAAGAGACAGTGCAGCATAGTGGATATAGTATTGGCTTGGGAATTACATGACCTGTGTAATATTATTTCTTTTACTCTTGTTCTGCGATGTGACATTGGTCATGTTGCTTCACCCCTTACGTGCCCGTGCTTTCCTCCTGCTTTCCCATTCAGGTAGTGAAGTATCAATTCTGACCTCCTTTCTGTGTTTTGAGGATGTGCAGATGAAAAGCACTTTGCAGGACCTAAATATTGTTGTATTATCTTATTCTATAGCAGCTCTTTTGCCATTGTCATCATGATGATTTCCAACATCATTCAGTGGTGCATTAAATGATGCAGAAAGCATCTGTCACATGTAGTTTGTTTGTTTGCTCCCTGTCTCATGACATGAGGTACTGTGTGGGCAGTGCTTTTTTGTTTTTATTGAGGTTTTTGTTTTTTTAAATACATTATGTGTCCACAGTGTGTTTATATTATTGAAAACAAGGCTGAAGAAGCACGTCTTGCTTGTAGCTGTTCTTAGTCACTGTGGGAGTTCGCCGCACGGTTTTGGACTGGTCCCTAGGAAAACCTGGTATGCTTAAGCTGAGGAATCTACACAAATCATATTCGAATCAAACACATTTTTGGAAAATTCTCCAGGATATTTCATCACTCAGAGCACAAGATCATGCATCTTGAGATGATTACTCAAACTTCCAGATGCTCAGCATGACAGTCTAGACAACTTAGTTGAAGAAGAGGAGTGAAGAAAGCAGTCGGAGTGGTGTAGACAAGAAAGCCCCTATAATGGATGGTTTTCAGGCAGAGTTTTATTCAAGATATCCATACTCTTCTGTTCCTAATACTCCAGAAATACTAGAATGATTCTCAGATGCCTGTGTAGTGTATAAGCAACCCTGATGGAATTTGGCCCTGAAGCTCTTTCTAAAACCAGGTCTGAGTCTGAAATCTTACTGGCTCTAGAGGGGGATAAGACTCCCCTTGCAGCAGTGTTGTTCTAATACTTCATCACTACATTATGGTTGGTGTCCCGCAGCCACATTGGATGGGTTCTATTCAGACATATTATTTGAGAGCAGTGATGACAGGATCTTATTCAAGCGGAGGTGGAAATGTATGATTTCTCATACATGTAAGCATCCCAATCAAGTTGTGTTTTCCAAAGGAAGAAACCCTGGTTCTTCCTGTAGGGACCATATTCTGGTTCCTGTGTCACAGATGTTAAACTGTCATAACTCTGTTGTCCTTAATGCATTTATCCTGGGTATAAGTGTACACTGAATTTGACCTGAGGTATTTAATGCATTACATAATGCCCAGTAAGGTAGGATAACAGGTGTTCTTTTTTTCATATATGACTTTAAGTCAGGGTTTGACTGTGTTGAGTGAACCTAAGCTTTTTTTCAGTTCGTCCTGCAACTCATGGCTAAGTAGGTTGATGAGGTCTCCTGCAACCTTAATTTGCTACTAATAAATAGGGATCAATCAATACAGCAGTAACAAGACCCAATTCTGCTAATTTGATTCATATTTAAGAGGGCTTAACTCTAAAATGGATCTTATTGATATTTCTAGAGCAATCTACTGGGAAAGATACTATTCAGTGCAAACCCATGTGGGAGCAGTGACCCCAAGGACAGATGAGCAATCCTTTAAAAGAAAAGAATTGTTTATATAATTTATGACTGATGCTGAGAGATCTTCCAAAAATTATTTATGAGAACTAGAAAATGCATTGGGAGAAACACTAGAATGGCCCACTTCCAGTTATCTCCTAAGCTAAGTTTGGTGCTTAGTTTGAAATTGGAGTTTCTTCCCTTTGGAGAAATTAAAGATAAAATAAGAGACTTTCTTTTAACCAAAAGTAAAATCCACCCTGTATGAAGAATGTGAGTGTATTTGGGGAAAGGAGGTGGCTATTGACTGAGTAGCAGCTTTCAAAACTGAATCAAAATAATCTTGCCGAGAACAGAAAATTACTTCTCTAACAAGCCTTTCGCTAATCCATCATATTAGTTAAAGAACCTTTGAGAAGATGATTTGGATAATCTGGAGAATCATTTTCAATATGAATCCATTCTGTGATGTTGTTTAGGGCATGAACAAAGGTCCATCGCCCCTGCCTCTCAGAAGCTGTTTCCTGATGCTGCTAAATCCCATGAATTTCTCCTTTGTGAGTCCTGTTCGGAGCACATCGTCAGCTTAGCTACTTTTGGGTGTACTACCCATTGCCCTGTGGCACACTTACCCTGGAAACCCGTGGACTCATAAAGGTGACAAATTTATCCAAAAGCTGTGGGATGGTACTGATGGGAGACTTCAATTTTCCAGACATCTGCTGGAAGAACAATGCAGCCAAACATAAAATGTTGAGCCAGTTCCTAATTTGTGTAAAAGATAAGTTTCTGTTCCAGAAGGTTAAGGATACAACTAAGGTATCATCTATTTTGGATCTTGTTTTGACCAATAGGGAAGAACTGGTAGAGGCTGTGATGGTGAAGAGCAATTTGGAATAAGTAATTACTATATGATAGAATTTCACATCCTGAGACAGGGAAAGCATAAAGTCAGCAAAACTAAGATGCTAGATTTCAAAAAGGCAGATTTCACCTGACTCAAGGAGCTAACAGGCATGGTGCCATGGGAAGATAGACTGAGGGATAAACATACCTAGGAGGGCTGGGAGCTTCTAAAAGGCACAGTACTGAAAGCTTAACAAGCAATTGTTCTGACACAATGAAAGCACAATAAAAATGGTAAGAGTCTAATGTGTCTGCACAAGGAGGTTCTAGGATGCCTCAAATGCAAAAGGAAAGCATCCAGGCAATGAAAAACCAGGCAGGCCACCAAGGTCAATCGGGCAGGTCACCAGGAAATATATTGCAAGAACCTGCAAGGACAAAATTAGTTAGGCAAAGATAAAGAACAAGCTGCTTGTGGCAAAGGAGACTGAAGACAACAAGAAGAGGTTCTGTAAGTACATTGGCCAGGAAAGAAAGATCAAGGAAGCCATGAGTCCACTGCTAAATTGCCAGGGGGAACTGTTAACAGAATATAAAAGGAAAGCATAGTTACTCAACAGCTACTTTGCCTCAGTCTTCATAAAAAACATTAAGCTGTAGCCAGACACCTGAAAAGGATTATTTGGATAAGGAAGGGGAGAAGCTGAGGCATGAAATAACAAGAGAGACAGTCAGAAAGCTTTTGATGTGTCTGAATGAACTCAAGCCAGCAAGACCAGATGAACTTGAATGCACGACCCAGAAGTTTGCCTTCTGTACTTTATAACTTGGTTGAAAACTCTGATAAATATCCGCCACTGATAGCAATCCATTCAATTTAATGTCTGGCTTTTGCTTGGGTTGTACGCTGCTGATGATATTTGTAAGTCTGGCTGTACTTCTGGTGGACTTCCAGCCTTTGCATCCATGTATTAAGGTAGACAAAATATTTGAATTCAGAATTTACCCAAATTCTGGAGAATTGTGGACCCGATTTTGTTTAAGATGATAAATGTGGCTTCACATTTGTCAACCACCTTGTCAATAACTAATGTTGTTTTCTTCTGGACCTTCCCATTGGCTCACTCATAATTGCCAACATATACGCATAGACCCACATTCTAACGTAATGCTCAAGTTATGGGACACTGTGATTATCTTGTTCTTCTGGATAGTATTTCAGTCTTTCTTTGCATATTGATTGAACCATACTTTAGATGACCTATACCATCATCAAAATCTAAATCTAATCTACTGCTGCTGAGCCATGTGATACTTGTGTCCATCCATGTTATTTTTCTCTTAATGAAGTCAGTGACAACGATAAACAAGAAAGGTTAGAGAATAAATCCTCATTTAACTCTACCATACTACCCTATTCATCCAAATTTATAAACTTTAAATGTACAAGCTTCACATTGACATAAAAGCTTGCAGACATCCATTCTTTTGCTAATATAACATAATATATCAAGGTACTCCAGGCTGAATTGCAGTCAAATGCTTTCTTGAAACATATGAGATTTATAGGCGATTACTTTTTGTTATTTGCTGCTCTAATTCAATACAAATCTGGTTGAAATGTGATCTTCCAGGTCAAAAGAGAGTCTGCTCTTCCTTCATCTTTGCTTCAGCTGCTTCTGCATTCTGTTTGAAATGGTACTGCCTGTCATTAAAAGGCATGTAAGAACTTGCCAATTATTGCAGTCAATTAAATAACTTCTCTTGGCAGTTTGACTACAATGCCATTATTTTCATTGTTCTGGAAAAAAATTTCTGGCCCCATCCTTTATTGAAAAATTTGGTTTTTTTTATCCTTAGTCTCATCAGAATAAGCTTTCAGTATTTCCCTGGTGATTTGGTCTCCATCTGTAGCTTTCCTAGATTTTAAAATTTTATTGTGGTAACTTTTTTCACATCTTCATTTGTAATGTGATATGCAGCAATGTCTAGCTTGGGTTGTTTCGCTTCTCAGCCAAAGCCAGTATGTGACACTTGCCTGTGCAGCATCTCTTGAAAATGTTCTGGCCATTACGCTCTTTGTTCTTTTTCTGTTGTTAAGA